GCCCGAACCCTGTGATAGGCAGTCACTGTAGGTGGACCCTTGAAATCTATACAAGTCACACAAAGTCAAAGCCCAAGGGCCGTGCGATTTGGCTCTTTCAATGACTAATCACAACAACATACAGTCTCACAACTGTGTCAGTGAGGAAGCAAGCAAAGCGACCAAGCAAACTAATGAAGGGTCTCCAACCAGAAGCCGAACTGCAAACAAAGAACCATCGAAACACGACCAACCGACCGACCGACAGACCGATCGAGCAAGCACGCAAACAAACAACCAAACAAACAAATCAGTAACTAACCTACCAACAAACCAACCGACCGACCGACCGACCAGCCAACCAACAGCCAACCAACAGCCAACTAGCAAGCAACTAGCAAGCAACTAGCAAGCAACTAACAAGCAACTAGCAAGCAACTAGCAAGCAACTTGCACTAGCAGGCAGGCAGGCAGGCAAGCAGGCAGGCAGGCAGGCAGGCAGGCAGGCAGGCAAGTCAAGCAAACAGCAACCAACCAATCAACCAACCAACCAAGCAACCAAGCAACCAAGCAATCAACCAACCAAGCAATCAACCAACCAATCAACCAACACAACACACCACACAACACAACCCAACACAACATAAGAAACAGAAAAACAGACACGACAAAACAAAAAATCAACAAACAAAGCAAGCGAGCCATGGCTAGACCAAGCAACCAAATCTAATGCAAACCTAACATATTGGCAAACGTAACCAACGAATCACCTACCTACATACCAACCTGCCAGCCAGCCAGCCCACCAGCCAACCAGCCAGCCAACCAACCAACCAACCAACCAACCAACCAGCCATCTACCATCTACCATCTACCCAACCTATTAACCTACCACCCACGAAGCAACCAAAGGCCCACGCAGGCCATCCGGAAAGAAAACCACACCTTTGAACAACCAAAACGGTTGCCCCCCCCCCCTTTTCGTTGGTCACTTTCAGCACCCCCCCCCCCCCCCGAAAAAATGAGGACCCCCAAAAAATATGGCAAACAGAAAAAGACAAAAGAAGGAGGTCGCTTTCTGCCAGTACTGGTAATGGTTTTCGTGAACTTGTTCAGTAGAAAATACGACAACCATACCTTATCCGTGGATACTCATTACTTTTGTGGGTTAGTTTCCTTTTGCACCCCTTTTTCGTCCTTCATGTTCAGCACCCCCAAACAAATGAGGACCCCCCCAAAAAAATATGGCCAAACAAGGGGAAGCACTGAAGGAGGTTTTCCGTTCTGATGTTCGCCGAGGGGCAGATCAATGGCCTGAGGTCGGTCGTCTGGATCCTCGGAAGGACAGCCAGGCTCCAAAGACTTTGCCTGGTTCAATAGGCAGGGAACCCGACAAAACCACCCCCGATTTGGCTTCCTCTAAGGGAATCCCCTTCCGAAATAACCCTTCTGCAGAAATGGAATCGCCCCCAACCTGGTGGAATCTCCGGCCTGGTTTTGGATCTTGAACTTTCTTCTCGGGCTTCGCAGAAGGGGGTTTCTTGCTGATTCCATCGGCAGGGAATGAGACCCCTACAAAAAGCCATCCGCGATTTGGTTTCCTGGTGAAAAAGAAACTTCTACAAGATTCTGAAAATCTAGTCACCTGCAAACTGATTGGGTAAAACTTCAAACTACACAGTGTCAGATGAAGAATCCCTTTTCCGGAAGAACCCTTCCAAGCCATCCGATCGACTCGGCGTTTTGGGACTCCCCTTCCGGTTCATGAGCCCCAGCCAGCCCCAAGTTTCGTTGGCTTCCTTTTGCGTTGCGGCCATGTCTCAAAGGTACCTTGTTTGATTTGGACCAAGGGTACCTTGATTTGCAGCTTCCTTTGGTTGATTTGCTTGGTCTTCGGCTTTTTCCATTGCCCAGAAGGGACACCCTCTTTCCCACAGCTCCTTTCCGAGCATTTCACAGAAAGCTCATAGAAAACTCGAGAGGCCACACATTGCCTGCCCTTGGCTTGGTTGATGATTGCTTGGTGCGGAGAAAGCCCGATCAGAAAGCTCTCTCTGTTCTTGGGCTTGTTTCTCAGGGGATCTCAAGCACTCAACTGGTCCTGACTCCAAGGGTTTTGAGAGCTGGGCAAACCTGTTGCCGGAACTTCACTGCTTCCATTGCGCAAGCACACACACATTGCACAACCAGCTGATGCCTTCGCCGCTTGCAATGTGAGTCAGAATCAAAACCCGGTATTAACATGGTCGATCCCCAGAACCATGCTTCAAGAACTAAGAAGGCAGCCGCAGCTATTTGTAGTTGGGATTGTCCCTTACTAACCTCCATCTACCGGGTTTTTTGATTGGGACTCATGTGTTCATTTGCGTATCGTACTCAACCTATCAAGGGTGGTAGGCAGGAGTTTGTTCGGCCATATTGAACAAACAGGCAAAACAAATACCCATGTCCACACTCTCCGGCTTTTGGTTCGACTCTTGGCTTTCCTTTTTGCCCTTCTCCGACAGATCCTTAGTTTTTGACAGAAGGGCCATCCCAAAAACGCCCAAATATCCCGGCATTCATGGAGTGTTACTCAAACATCCCACTACCACTGAAACTTGGTCCAAGTACCGAAGGTCCAAACGGGTTCAAGACAGGTCCACGTGTTCGTGTCAACAGTGCTAGGCCATCAAGGACACAAAGGAGCGCTGCCAGCCCCTACCCACCCCACACCAACAAAAAGCCAAAGGGAAACGCCAACGCAAATGCTGCGTTTTGTCAGCTTGGATCCGCGCCAGACATCGGCCCTCTGAAGAAAAAGTGAACTTTGTGCTGGGCAAAAGTTCGAAACTGCGAAAAAGGGCGCCAAGCCAAGTCTGGCTCAACGGGATGTCGCACTCGTCCGCCCAGACTCGGGCAACGTTGAGCCGTTCTGTGCCGGCCGAGCTGCCAGCATCATGGCGGTCAGCACAAAGTCCGCCAACTGCGTCCTGGCCGTGGGATGGGTTGGGGACCCCACCCGCTGCCAAAAAAAGGAAGCTGATGGAGTCTTTGGGAAACATTGGGATCGGGAGATCCTGTTTTTTTTTGTTTTTTGTTTTGTCTCGTTTCATTCGGCTGCAATTTGCCCCCCCCGAATCTGGCTGAAGGATATGGTTTTTGGGCATGGATCTCATCGCAGCATAGGCCCCCAGGCTCCCTGCTCTCTCTCTACCCCCGGGCCATGCCTACGCATGAGGGCGCTGAATATGATGGCGAGCCCTGTTCAGGGAGGTCTCGGGAGGCCAGTTTCATCGATGCCGCCATCATCCAATGCCGGTGGTGTGAATCTGGGGGACCCTCGATCTGCCAGCATTCCCCATATGTCCCCTCTGAACAAAAGAGCATGAGCCCGCCAAAAGGACAACCACTTCAAATTGGCCCCAATGGCGATGCTTACAACCACCAAGAGAGGCTACTATAATTCAAAAACCGGAAACAAGCAAACCCCCGAGTGGATGAGCTCGTTGCGGCCCCGCTGACCTCGGGTGATGGTCATGATTCTTGCAGGGACCTGCAGAAGTAACAAGAAGGAATGAGCTCGTTTACCATTCAGAAGGGTCGTCATGGGGCGCGAAAAGACTGGTTGCACAACTCCAGGCCCCACAGCGACCCGCTCTCTTACCATTTCGCTGTCTTTTCTTGAGGGTACCCTTTTGGGACGTTGATTGGTTCAAGCCAAAAGGACACCGAAGCGCCCATTTTTGGGGCTCCGAACTAGAGCCCCCCATATGGGGAGAGCCTCCGTCCCGATCACCCGGCGGCCCGGTCTTTGTCTTGTCCCACTTCTTCTCGTCCCCCAGTACGCAGGAGAGGCCCCAGGTCGCGGGCCGCAACTCCTGGAGCCATTCAGGATGTCGAACTGTCGCCAGGGGGTGAGGCAGCACCAGGCGTTGGACAAGGCGAAAAAAGGCCCCTGGGTTCAGGGTGAAACCACTGTTTGAATATGTTCAAGTAAACTCATGTTGGTGTCCTTTCGCATGAAACCAGGAGTTGGCTGTTACGAACTTTGGCCTGGTCACTTCTCAAAGCCATGATTTTGGCGATGCCGGGGAACTTGTTTCTGGTCGATGTTCAAAGCATCCCAGTGCAGAATGTCCGCTTACAAGATAATGCATCAATGATAGATCCAGAACTCTCCGAAGCTGAATTGAACGCAAGCCGAAGTTGAAATCGACAGCTGAAGAAGTCAGGGATCTCCGGTGGCATTCTCGTCATCTCGTGGGCGAATGCCCCGAGGTCAAGTGTCAAGTGTGACTATTGGCTGCCCAAGCAGAAGACTGCTCCCCTGTTCTGGGAGAAAAGAAAGAAAGAGGGGGGGGCTACTCTTGGGGCCCTTTTTCCCTGAAGGGCCGGGGGGGGGGGTCAAAGGCAAATTCGTGCAGCTGCTCTCCAGTTGCTCTCGCAATGCCAGGGCCCGCAAACCCCCTACGCTCGTTGCCAAATCTCCCGGCAGATTTCATTGGCAAACTAGCCAGCATCTGTTCCCAGCATCTGCAAGTCACGTACATAGACTAAAGTTGACAAAATGCCAACAGGGATCCTTACACTATACACCTAAACATTGCAACTTGTAAATGGTGGTTTCCAACTTTATTTTGGTGTTGAAAAAGCAACATGTTTCAAATGGTGGCAAAATGAATTTCTTTTAAGGAGCCCTGGCCAAGCCCGTTTTCTCATCCGCTGAAGTTTCTCATTTCGCTTCCGGAAGGCATTGTTGACTTCTGCTTCGCAGGTGTGTGTCGTTTTTTCAGGTAAACGTCACTGGGAATTCCAAGAAAGACTTGGGACACACAAACCGCGTTGGCCCTGGGTGTCCATTCTTGGAGAAAATAGATAGGTTTCCCTTGGAGATGATGAAGAAACTAGGTCAAGGGCCATCTAGTGTCAAACAACCCCAAAGGACTGGTTTAGCCCGAAAAAAGTGCTTGCCTTCCGTTCAATGGCGGAAAGGCTTATGTCCAAGCGGCTGGAACTTTTGATCTGTTCCTTTCAAACCCTTACCAAACCAAGCGGACAAGGCAAACCAAACAAACGCTGGAACAGGGGCCAACAAAAAGAAGTGCGAGTTTCACCCACCGCCCCACTTCGTCGTTCGTTTCGAAGCTGCGATCCTTGAAGCGCACGTGGGGTGCGGAGCCTAGACGCTGCACTGGGAAGTAGGCCGGCGAGGGCGTGTAGAGTTGTCCTCCGGACGCTCCGAACGACGAGGCGTCCCGCGCTTCGACGTCTTTCGTTCGGCTTTTCGCGGGTTGCAGGGCGCCAAAAAGGAGATTCGTCGAAAGAGGGTTTCTGGGGTCCATGCTTCATATTGGTAACACCTGAAGACCAAAAACAAACAGGAACCTTGGAGGAAGCTCCTGTATCCCCCTGAAAGAGGGATCATAGACGTCACCCCCGTCCAACATGACATGTTCGTCTTCAAGAAGCATCGCCAAGAGTTGCCGGATCTGTGATATTCAAGGTGGAATGCACAATGGGGACAAGTAACGGCCCCACTGCGCTGGTGGTTTGCTTCACAGACTGCTGGGTGTCCATCGATCGAGTTGCCCACGCTGGAAGTTGCTTTTAGGTGGGCTGGAAATCAAACTTGCCCACCGTGCAGCAGGACAAAGCTCCTGGTGAGTGTGGATGTGTGTCCACGGCAAAACAGAAGCGCTCGTTGCGAGCCCGCACCATTTCCAGTTGCTTGAGCCCCCTGGAAAGAAAATCCAGTAGTGATAGATTCCCTTTAAGACCACCAAGGAAACAATAAAACATATTCTTAAGCAAATGGAAGACAAAGCCGAAAAGACGACGGAAAGCGCCACTCCCCCCCACCCTCCCGACTCACCTGTGTCCATCTCAAGGATAGACCTGAAATCACCGGGTCCCTATAAAGCCTCCCCTAAAACCCCCCCTGAAGCAGCAGATATGGCCATGGGTCAAAATCCCGTACCCCCAGTGAACATCCCAATCCCCACTAAAATAGACCAAAATGGGTGGTGAATTCACCTACCCCAAAATGTGATCCCACCGCCATACGCCCCCATGGCCGAGGCTCGGATGTCCAGGGGGCTCTTTCGCAGCAGCTTCTCCGGGAGCCCGGCTTTGGAGTTCACCAGGCCCAGGGCTTGCGCCAACATGTACTCCACCTTCCCCAAATGTTCAAAGCCAAGAGAAAAAAGGGGTTTGGTGGAAAACCCGGGTGTCCTTTTTGGGAAGGCCAACAGGGCTTTGGGAAACCAGGTTCCTTCAAAGGTCCTGTCCACTTTGTTGGATACAGGGTATGGGGGGGCTGTATGCGGAAACGCAGACCCTTTTGGATGGGTTGTTGAAGGGAACTAAGCAGATACCGGCCACCAGGCTGACTTTCAGAGGCGCAAGTGACGCGTCTCAAACTGGGGCCTTGGGGACCAATTGTCGAAACTAGGGATGCCAAAGAGGCTGAGGCACCTCACTTTGATGGAGCGAGACGCAGAGAGTCGGAGAGAGAGAGAGAGAGAAAGAAAGAGAGAAAGAGAGAAAGAAAGAAAGAAAGAAAGAAAGAAAGAAAGAAAGAAAGAAAGAAAGAAAGAAAGAAAGAAAGAAAGAAAGAAAGAAAGAAAGAAAGAAAGAAAGAAAGAAAGAAAGGAAGGAAGGAAGGAAGGAAGGAAGGAAGAAAGACAGAGAGAGAGAGAGAGAGAGCCGAACAAGCTACTCAACCTGTGGTTGAGCCCATAACAAAATTAAGACGTGGCGCTGGCTGACGTCTGGCATTGACGTGCTATGATTGGCAATCTTAGACCACTCACGCAAGCACACTTGAGGCATAAACCAAACCAGGTATCAAGCAATCTATCCCAAAACTGGGCCGCCCTCAGATCCCCCGCTAAAAGTTTAACTTTTAGTGGAGCAAATGGAAACTACCACTAAACACTAAAAAGCTAAAAAGCTAAAAAGCTAAGGGGATGGCTGGCAGCCGCCAAGAAAACATGGCCAGTTTGAGGGGATCCCCTAAAAAGTGAAGAAGAGGCAGCCCTTAACCAAGGCCCAGCACCGAAACCCCTTCGCGAAAAACTGCCGCTGAGCCGCTGTGTCCTCCTCTTCATTCCACATGTTGCCTGAGCTTGGCATTGGACGTGTCAATCACGCAAATGAATGTTCCCCCTACTCCAAATACGCGGCCTTTTTTCAGGGTATCATGTCGACCCTCTACTAAATAAGGAGGTATTTACCCTGGAAAACTGATCGGTTTTCCCGAAACTACCAACTGAAATCAGCGGGTATTTTGAATAGGGTCGCGGTTTCCATGGAAGGCTGGGTCAGTACTCTCACACGCGGGCGAAAAAGGCGGGGCTCTTTTCTTTCGGGCCGGCCGAGCCCCGAAAACCAGCTTCACATGCCAGAGCAAGGCCTGGGGTCTTGCATCTCAGGGGACACTTGCTCAATGAACATGTGCTTAACAGGGCTCCCTATATTTCCCCTTAAAATATCACCCCCACCAACAAACACTCACCTTTCATGGGCCAAAAAGGTGATGTTTAAAACCACCACCGGGGGAAATATAGGGACCCCTGCTTCACGTGGCACATGCCCGAACATTTTCCGACGGCCACATGGACACCAGGCCAGGAGTGATTGTCCTTCACCCTTCGACTTACCTCGCCCCTCTCCCGCCTCCCTTCAAGAAACAAAAAGGCTTCCCCTCGAAACAGAGACATGGGAATGTGTCAAACTGGGATCCCCCAAATGGGGTACCTGGACCCTCAAAGCGTCTTAAAAACAGGTGCTGTTTGCTTTTTTTAAGTTTATGGGAGCTGGACCCTCAAAACTCCAACATTAAAAAAAAGGTTGCAACCCACTATTATGGTGAGGTGAAATCCCTTTTGCAATGGGTAGTTTGAGGGTCCAGATATCCTTTGGGGTTGCTTTGAAAGGAAGCAAAAAGGAAACCGGCGCAAAAAAAACATTTATAAAACAACATATATAACAAAAAAACAACTTACCACAAATATGAAGGAGAAAAAAGAGATAAACAAAAAAAGAAACGCGCGCCGAGGCGCGCCCGGAGTAGAGCTCCAGCAAGGCCACGCCGGAGCCCCAGACGTCGGCCTTGTCGGTGATGGGCAGCCGGAGCATCATCTCCGGCGCCCACTTGCCGATGTGCCCTGCACGGCCCCCCCTCGCCACTCCGACTCAAAATGGGGCGTCCAGTCCCAAAAAAACCCAATCGGTTTCCCAAATCGGTTCGGCAAACTGCAGCAAACAGATCCCCCTTCTCAGGAAAACTCACTTTTGGACAACTTATGGCTCTCGCCTAGAAGGGAAACACGCGCAAAGAAAACCTGTAGAAAAACACGTAAACAGAGATATACATATTAACAATACATATATATATATATATATACATTCCGCACAGGCGCAATCAAGCTGGAGTGTTCCCCCAATTCCATCTGTCTAGTCTTCCCCAAAAAGAAGGCGGTTCACTCGAACTTCTTCTTCTCCAGGTTCAAGTCCGGACAAACCGGCCACTTCTCTCGGTGGCGAAATCTGCGAAGCCCTGCTAAAAGTTCAACTCTTGGTGGTTTTGGAAAACCCATTCATTGGCAAAAAAATGAAAGTCCTAACATCCCTTGGCAAAATGCACCAAAGCAAAAAGAGGACATGGAGCTCTGTCGGATGGGTGGATTCCCTTCTGTCGCCCTTTGAAAGCCATCCAAAACGGGGGCTATGAACTAGAGGGAGATGACTGGCATTCCCCTCAATGGTGTTGGGGGTCCAATCCTTATGACAAGATACCCAAGTTTTGACTGCCATGATGCTCACCAAAGACCACCCACTCAAGCTGGTCATGCAAGTAGATCCGGCGCCAGGTCCCCAAGTAGATCCCCAAAGTTCCAAAGAACCATGCAAGTGGATACCCATGACCCCAAGGTATGGATTTCAATACGGAATCGGCTCAAAAGTGGGATTCCGCGAATCCGCAAAAACCGGCCACTTCCCTTGAGACCCGGTGGTGCTGCACTCCGATTCGAAAAACTCGCCGCGCCTGCGCCGCCTTCGGCGAAGGCCCAGTTCCGGCCGTTCTCCAGGCGGGAGTCCAGGCGTGAGCAACCTGTGAGACGAGTTGCAACAAATCGGTGTCCTTTTAGGTTGGAAATAGATGGGTTGCCCTGGTAGATGAGAAAAAAACACCAGGTAAACCAGAAATCGCCATCTATTTTTCGAGCAAAACATCCAAAAAGGACACCTATGGTTGCAGCACCAGTGACCCAGGTAGACAAGGGGAACCATTTGTCTGGGGGTTGATTGATCTTTTCCATTCGTTTCAACCATTGTTCTTTTCAAAAACCCAAAACTTTGGGTGAGGAGTCCAGTTGGTCATGGGTCAAAATCCAAATCGTACCTCACAGTGAACCACTCAAATAAAGCCCAAAATGGGTGGTGAATTCACCTACCCACCAAAATGGGATCCCACTGGTTTTGACAATCACAGCCATTTGGGTGTGTCTTCTTTTTTTCTTGGACCCGCCAAGATGGGTGGTTTCCTTGGTTTGCCATTAAAAAACAGCCCCAAAAAGGCGACCTACAGAACTCGCCCCAAAAAAGAGAAAAAACACCTCCGAGGTGCAACGTAATGAACTCCTGTTTCAATCTCTGAGATATTTTTTTCCACGCCATGTTCCGCTCATAGCCGCACTTGATAATACAACCGCTGCCCCCGAGTCCCTGATTGACATGGCAATTTGGTGAGCGACCTGTATTATTGTGAGAGGGTCTCTCTATGGCAAATTCATATCGACCGGTGCAAAAGATCGAGCCCATTTGAATTGATCGCTGTGAATCTGGCTCATAACGTCGGCCCCCGAAAATTGATGTATACCAGAGGTGTTTGCGGGTATTCCCCACTAACATTATTGCCGTTTGGAGAGGCATCTATCGTTTTGGCCAAAATGACGATCACGAGTCGACCTATGGAAGCTCCATGTTCGGCAAGGGATCTTTCTGCCTCAAGTCTCCAAAGATGCCCAAAGCCCCGTGTCCTCCCCTTCAACTGTCAGTGATTGACCTTGCCCAAACCCCTTTCAGGGGATACCGTGTTTGCCCAGGATACATTTCAGGCCTTTTCCAGGCATTTTCTTGTAGAAAAGCACTGGGCGAGAGGGTGTGGGGCAATTGCGAATCCCTTTAGGGGAAGAATTACTCCTTCTTTTCTGTCCTTATTAGCCACTCTTCACTGGGTACCTTTGCCAAGATACGTTTCAGGCCTTTTCCAGGGGATTTCCAGTCGAAAGCACCGGGCGATCCCTCGGGCTTCCTGGGGTTGGATCGATCGATGCAAGGCGCCGAAGTCTACCAGGCGCACCACGGTCTCGCCCTCGGAGTTCTTGGTCCACATGAAGTTGTCCGCCTGAATCGCGGGCTCTCTCGTTTCTCGAAAAAAGGAGAGGAGGCGCTTCCATTTGCTTATATAAGCCCCCAGGAAAAAATGAGAACTTATTTGTCCAGTAGCGATGAATTCCTTTTAAAACCAACCAGGGCAAATAATGGAAAACATATATTCATTTCGGCAAATGGAGACAGGGTCGACCTCCAAGTGCCGGGCGCCTCTTGATTTCAAGGAGCTGCCAGGCGCCTCTTGGGTTAGCTTCAAAGAGAAGGTGGGGGTGTCTGTCTCGAGGTGCCTCGTGGGTAAGTTGACAAAGGAAAACTGCTTCTTGAAAATTCGACAGGTCCCCACCCGCTGTCAGAAAGTGCAAGAAATGCTCAAAGAAAACAAGCAGGAGCTTCTTAAGGGCTCCTGATGGGGTGGCGAGGAAAACCATCCTTTCTCAACGCCAATTCATGCTTTGCTGCAACGGAGTTTGAAGCAAAATTGCCAACTCCTGCCTTTCTGATTCGCATGCTAAAGCGACAAAAGCCTGTGCCAAACCAGAAAAGTGGATGAAAGGCGCAACCTTTCCTTGGCCATGTTGGGCTCCCCCCTTCCCCCCTGCCCCGCTTCCCCTCACTCCCTCCCCCTCCCCGAGCCGACTTCCCCACTTCCACTCCTTTGCTTCCCATCCCTCCCAACCGCCGTCCATCGCCGCGTCCATTTGAGTCACAATCAAACCCGGTATTGAAATGCTTGACCCAGAACCATGCTTCAGGGCGTCCAAAGGCGGATTCCCGCCACTATTTATGGCTGGGATTATCCCTTACGAACCTTCATCTACCCGGGTGTTGAGCAAGTGGCTCATTTCGCCCTCCTTTTCAGCCCACTTCCCCACTCCTTTGCATCCCTCCCAAATCCCCCCCCCCCCACTGACCATTAGCCCACTTCCACCTTCCTTCCCATCCCTCCCAATCCCCCCCCTCCCGCATCCCGTCGCATCCCGTCCACTCCCCCCACACCCCCCCCACCGCCGCGCCTTCATGTCGCAGTGCACCACCCCAGCCTCCGACAGCAGCGCCAGGCCCCGGCAGCAGCCGATGGCCACCAGCCGCAGGTTCGTCAAGTCCTTGAAGTGCCGCGCGTCCATGCGGCAGATCTCCTCCCAGGCAACGGAGGATTTTTTTTATTTGTCCGTTGTTGTTCTCATTTTTTTCGCGGCGGTTTTGGTGGACTGATGAGTTTCCCGTTTTTTGTCTCCATTTTTCCCGCGGCCGGTCTTGGTGGACTTGCGCGGGGGTTCCCTTCTTCTTTTTTTCGTTCACTCGTCCGGGGCAAATGGTCGGGGTACGGATTGGTTTTTGATTGTTTGCTTTTCTCCGCGGCGGGTTCACGTCGACTCGCCCCGGGGTTTCCAATGGTTTGGGTTGTTGGATTTGTCTGCGTTTTTTTATTTGCTCCGCGGCGGGCTCACTCGACTCGCCCGGGGTTTCAACTGGTTTGGGTGGTTGAAGGGAAACCACAGAGAAAGCATGAAACCACCCAAATCATTTGCGGGGGTCCGATGCCTATTAGACAACTGCTGTGCACGCAAAGACCCCATGTGACCAGACACATCCACGCCAGGCAGTTTAACTACTGCCGCGGACTTTTGCCCGTCCACACGGGCGAGATTCACTGGGCGTTGGGATCCATCGGATGCTTCTCCCATCTCGAAGCCCAAACAACATCTGGGCAACCTTTCCCAAGGATGTGAACATTGGGGCGCTTTCTTGGTGTTTGTGGGGCAAAATGAGTGACATCCCCCTTCTCGCCCCTTCCCCAATGGTTTGTTGACCAAAACCGCTCCGAAATGCAGAAGCAACCTTCTCGAGTGTGGCAGTTCTGCAAGGTCTGGCTTCCTGGAGTTCGCACCCCTTGTTCGTTGGCCTTGCACGAAAACCAGCATGCATTCTTTTTTGGGGAGGTCCCCTAAAGAAAAGCCACACCCAAGTAGTCTTGGTGCAAACTCAAGATATCTCTGAGTCTTGTCGCATGTCTGAGTGCTTCGACATCCAAAAGCTTCAGTGACTCCCAAAGGCAATCTGGCCATGGGTCAAAATCCAAATCGTACCCCCAGTGAACATCCCAATCCCACTAAAACAAAGCCTAAAATGGGTGGTGAATTCACCTACCCCCAAATCATCTACCCCCAAAATGGGATCCCAAAACGGTTTTGACCGCCACAGCCATCTATTCCAGCAGAGGATCCATGCAGTTGCGGCCCTCAAAGAGGGTCTCAACGGTGTAGCCGACCTGGGCATTGAGTCGAAGTCGGCCTTGGGGATGACTCCAAATACCCGCCCTTTTTCTCAGGGTATCATGTCGACCCTCTACTAAAAAAGGTTTCTCAACCATGGAAAACCAGGCTTTCCCGAAAATGGTTTCAAAAAAAGCGGGTCTTTTGAGATCGGAAACAAGGGATCCTCAAGCAAAGTGCCTTGACCGACATCGCTCCTTCTGCCCCCCCCCCCCCTCTTTCCATTTCCCTTATTTTTCCCCCCCGATCCCCCAAATAAGCGAGCTGGATATGAATCGCAAGCTCCAGCATCTCTCTGACATCGAAAACTCAGGCCGGCGCCATGTCATAAAAGGCCTCGATGAGCCTCGGCGCCACAAGAAAAACCCTTCAGCCGGGAGTGGCTCCAGACCACCGACCTTCTCACTTGCGTGGATGGCCCCGAAAAAAGATCCAAACTTTATATGTATCTAAAACGGTCTTCCCAAAGTTTCCCCATTTTAGATGTACCAAAACTTTGAAGGTCTAAAAAGGTCTTCCCAAAAAAGTTCAAAGTTCATGAACTCAGGAAGTGAGACTTTCGGGGGGGGGAAAAAAAAAAAACGCTGGGTCTGCTTGATCAACGGAATGAAACCCATGTCCAAACCAGTGGAACCCATCTATTTCTTGCCAAAGCAACCGATCAAGGGACACTGTGCTAGAGACCCGCTCTAAATCGTTGATCTTGGCGGTGCCCCGCAATACGAGCCGAAAAAAGAGTCCCTAGAAGTTTTGCCAATCCGCGGACTGGTGTCTTGGGCAATGGCAGTGCTCGGGTCACGTGTCAATGGGGGTTTGCGTGTCTTGTCTCTGAGGGGGGGGGGGCCAAACGGCGACTCACTTTGAAATCTGATCACCATTCTCAATCACCATGCTCAAAGAAATGCAAGCTTCCATTTGCTTAAGCCCCCGGGGAAAAATCAAAATATGTCCAGTAGTGATAGATTCCCTTCAAAAGCAGCAAGGGAAAATAAAAGAATGTTCGCAAGCAAATGGATGCAAGAGGTCATAAAGTGGATTCTGCAAAGTGGGCGTTCAAGGGATGCATTCACCGACTGATTCCATCGATCGCAAGTCCCACACCATCACACCATCTGCATCTGATCGAAGCCTCTGGGAACTCTTGAAACACCTACGTGGTAGCAAACCTTTTGCTCTTTGTTGGGGCGATAAAGAGGCCCCCCAATTAGAGTATGGTATGGTTCCCTCCCCTCCCCAAAAAAGCAAAAACGGTTTGGGGGGCCCACGCTCAGCCGGCATGTTTTAGATTGAGAAAAAAACACCCCCCCTCTCAAAATACCCGCTTTTTTCAGGGTATTTTTTTTCGGAAAAACCTGGTTTTCCATGGTAAATACCTCCTTTTTAGTAGAGGGTCGACATGCCACCCTGAACAAAGGAGGGTATTTTGAGTAGGGGGAACAACGCACAACAAAAATGTGGCCTCCAGAGTCGCGTCCGATTTCCGAACCCCGAACCCCGAACCCGTCCGCCCGCGAAGGAAATTTCTTTCGCCTGGAGAAGAACTTGCCCTCGGGGTCTACAGAGCTGATCCTCCGGCTGATGGTCAGCAAGTCCTCGCCGAGTCGGGGCAGCTGGTGGATGCAACCAGTGAGCGGAGGGGCGTGCTGCCCGTTTCTCTTTGGCTCAGTGGAAAGACTCGCAAAAAACAAAAAAACAGTTTCAAGGGTTTTCTTTTTGGAGGTTCTCATTGCGCCACGGCTGACCTCGAATACCATTACTCAGGTTTCATGTCAACTGCAGAAATGTCGGCTTGATCGTGGGATTGCTTGAGTCATCCCCCAATCTCCGTCCATCGATTTTTTGCTACTACTCACTCGATCACATCCTGATGGCCACCTTCGCCACCAATTCTTCAGCTTGCGTGCAGACCACTTGGGGCTAGGGGAGGGCCAAAATGGGCTGGTTAATTGGCCCCCCTCCTCTTAGAACCCGATACGCCTATGGTTCTTCTTCAACCAGGATCGAATCAAGAGGTCTTAGGGTTTTCGTGTTCCCCAAATGGGCAAATGGAATGTTTTGGCCACCAGATCCGTCGACTCCCAGTCCGTCATCAGCTCCACGGTGAGGCCGCTATGGCGTTTCACACACACCTGCGCGCGCCGAAACGAGCCCTTTTGGCTTGGGAGGCATCGCCCCACTCAACGCCCCACCTTCACAGGCCGCGCTCCAAGGATCCGAGCAACGCACACCCCAAGTGAGGCAAACCTCCGTGACAGTCCACACACACCCCCACGGGAAAGTGATGCCCCCTGGGGCCCACGAAGCCGCGCGGATCGAAACCTGGCAAAGGGCTGTGCCCAAAATGCGAAAGGAATCGGAAGGGCCGGAGTTCGCATGGGGGTCCCTTCGGATCTTGAGAGCAATCAACTGGGACGCCGGTTTTGGTTCCCTTTCGTTGTTGGAAAACCCTTTCTGTCGTAATTCATCGCTTGAAAGGATGGGGTTGTGTTGGTACAAAGGCTGGCCCCACCAAGTCGAACTGCTTGCTTCAACACGATTCTTCAAAGCCATGACGACTAGAAATCGGTCGCACCCCATCGCTCAAGTACCCCCTACTCAAAATACCCGTTTTTTTCCAGGTATTTGTTGGTTCAAACCTGGTTTTCCATGGCAAATACCTCCTTTTTTAGTAGAGGGTCGACATCATACCCTGAAAACTGGGCTGCCCTCAGATCCCCCGCTAAAAGTTTAACTTTTAGTGGGTTAAATGGAAATCCAAGCCCTGAAAGGATCTAAAATGCTTCTAGTTTTGGTAAAATGGACATCCAAACCCTTTTCCCCTAAAAGTTGATCTAAGAAGCTAAGTGGAACCGGATGGCTGGGAGCCACCGAGAGAGAAAACAGGGATCCTTACATTATACACCTAAACATTGCAACTTGTAAATGGTGGTTTCCCTTTACTTTGGTGTTGAAAAAGCAACATGATTCAATTGGTTGCAAAATGAATTTCTTTGAAGGAGCCCTGGAAAAGGCCGGGGTTCGTTTGGGAGCCACCGCCTTGGTATTGGTCTCCATGTCCGTGGCCAGGTACGCCCGGGTGAAGTGCCCCGCGCCCACAGCGTGCTCGATCTTGTACCTGGCGGGCTAAAACTTGGTAACGCTCAGGGTTTGTTTTGGTTCATCTAGGTCGAGCCTCCAGTCGTAGGTTAGAATAAGTGGGTTTTTGGGACTTTCTTTTCTGGAGGTCTATTTTAGTGGAACCCTCCCAACCAAAAAAGGGGGGGAGAGAAAGGGCACGGACCTAGTGGTTTGTCAGGAAAGCCGAAAGGAAAATTCCGACCAAGCCTGGAGTTTGTTGTGCCTTTTGTTAAGGATACCCTTTTTGTTTGTTTTAAAATGGAAGCCAACGAGAAGCCAACCATTTCCGGGATGTCCATGTCCTGATTTTGAAACAGTTGATCTGGTCTCTGCCTCCCGCTAGCAAACACGGGCAAGCCTTCTTACGCCTCACCATTTTTGGGGGGAACGGCCAAATTCCATCATAGACTGCTCTGATTTGACCGAGCCGAAGAATTCATGGATCCTGTCAGCCCATTTCACCAGAGAGTCCAGCTGCCTCTGGCTAAGTAACCAGAGGTTCCTGGTTCCTCTCCTTGATCTTACATGATGGCTTCGACCGCTGTCAAACTTGAAACTTTCTGCGTGTTGGTTTTGTGAGCCTGTTCAAGTCCTCTGATTGCTTGGAGCCATCACCGCTGAGTGCATAGAGCCTATATGGGGGTTTCTCCAAATGGGGCTCTCTAAAATATTAGATGTCCTTTGAATACCAAAGAGGCGGCTTTTCCATTTGAGAAAAACACCCATTTTCAGCTGTTCAGTGACCCTGGAAAAAAGAAGAAGAATTGGAACCCTTTTTTGGGCTTGGACCATTTTAGTGGGGCCACCAAAAAACAAGTTGGAAAAAGAAAAAGGGGGCCACTGAAGAACTGAGCTCATCATGAAGCATGATTGGGAAAAAGCACACACACACACACATACACACAAATAGAGAGCGCTGCTCGACTGGCTGGCTCAACAGCAAGCTAAAATCAAACCCGAATGAAGCAAGCGGCCAAAAAACCAAAAACGGGAGAAACCGCTTGCCCAAGCCCCGGGAAACCTGAAAGGAAAAGAAACAGTTGACAAAAAGAACCCGGGAATAACAGGTTCACCTTTTGGGGCCATGACCAAACATGGCTACCAAAAAGGGACACCAAAAGTGTCAGATCAGGTCGATTCGCCGTGGGCAAGTGAGAAACAACCCCGAAGCGACCAATCGCACGGGCGTTTCTCACAAATATACTCGGTTGCTTTCTGCTCCCCTGCTAAAAGTTTAACTTTTGGTGGTTTAATGGAAAACCCAGTAGTTGGCAAAAAGTTAAAGTCCTAACATCCCAGCAAAATGCACTAAAGTATAGGGAACCTCGTTTTGGCTGGCTTCAAAAAAGAAACCAAGAGGACACGTACCGGCCTGCAAACTTCCCCCCAATTTGGCTGTGGCTCAAAAAACCGGTACCAAAATGGGTTGCCCTGACACATGGACCAAAACCTGCGGTTTGCCCCTCCTGTTTAATTTTGAGCCACACCCATTTCTAAGAACCACCCCCCATGCCACTCCGAGCCCTCCCGCCCATTCCGCCGATCCGCCCATGCCAGCCTCTTGCACAGCACCTCCCCGGGGTGGGGCCGATACTCGCGCGTGCACTGCCGCGCCCACTGCCCCACCAGGCCGGGGTTCACGTGCACCTGCACCGGCACCTCGGATCAATTCCACCCCAGAAAACCCCAAGTTCTCCAGAACAGGGCTCCCTGTATTTCCCCTCAAAACATCAGCTTTATGAAGGGAAGCTCACCTTAATATAGGGACCCCTGCAGAATGAACCTTGGGCCCCATTGGCTTCCATCTCCCCGGCGCTGGGCAAACTTTCGATCCACCGGGAAAACGGGAACCCAAAGGAAGGAACCTCCGAGCCGAAGCCCCGGAAAACGTCGACGATTCAGCGACGAAGTCGCCTCCGTTGCCATCTTGGATCCAAAATGACTTTGGAGGGACTGAGTCCGGACACGTCCACGTCTGTCCCTTGCCTCTTGAGAGCCCCGGCACTTGCTTGGGGTCCTCAAAAAGTGGCGAGTTTTGGGAGGGCCTGAGCCTTCTGCATTTGGAGAGCTCATGAGCCTGGGGTTGATTTCAGGTGCTTTCGCTTGACGGATGTTTCCTCGTCGAAACTGAACTGCACAAAGTGATTTTGGAGGGGTAAACAAGAACAAACAAATTACACCCCCCAGGAAGAGAAAATCTTTCGAGGATCCCAGACGCATCGTCCAAACCTGAGCCCGCTGAGGCCCGAACCCAGGCATCGCCTATGTGGGTTGGATCGCCTCGGATCGCACGTAGGGCCCCCTCCCCCCCGAGATCTGTCTGACGGAAGGGCGGCGGCTCAAAAAATGGTACCCAAAAACGGCACCTGGTATATGGGAAAAAAGGCGATTTTGTTGCGTAACCGCAGCAGTTTCGTTTTGAGCCACACCCCCATTTGGCCACAAATAGAACCAGACTGGCTGGTACGAGTCTCGCTCCAAGAGCACCGAGCGGTGACATGAACTGTGGAAACTGGGGCCTGTAGGCAAGCCACTATTGTAGAGAACCAGGGGAAGCCATCATGTGAAACCTCGAGGTAAGCGCCGGAGTCATTATGGTTAAGGATCTTGCTGCCAGGCGGATGACCGTTAGGCCTTCCCAAGGGC